TGTGTGTATGTGTGTGTGTAGACGATTGCGCATCTGAGTGTGTGCATACTGTACCGTACACACTCCGCCTTACTTCATTTCTGCTTCTGTGCATCATCAAGAGGGAGAAGAAAGGAGCGACAGGCTGTTGTTCATTGTTTACCGGATCGGGATCTCGTGGGTTTCTGTGCTCCGGGAGTGGAAAACGGGGGGGAAAAAACACAATGGAGCAGAGAGGAAAATCACTTCAGCTGAAGGCCTTGAGTGTATGAGCGCAGCCAAGTTTGGTTTGCTGATATTCTCCAACAGCTGTTGCTCTTTTATCGGCATAAACAAAATAAATCAGACGACCGCGACGCACCCACAGCAAATTATGTGTTAATCTTTTGTGTAATTCCGACTTTCCCAATGAATGCTTTATGTATTTATGTAGACATTTAGATTAAACGAAATGAAACACAATATCCCAGCTGGTTCTCTCGCAGACGAGTAGAACAGAGGAAATAAAAGAAGACAGCGACGGGGTTATACTTGTCTGTTTATAGAAGGGAGAATGACCACTAGTGGAGCCCTGAAGGCCACAAAGACCTATAAATATACATACAGTGTATACATACTGCAGCTATGTTTCCCTGTGGTTAGGTGCCGGTTCCTGTAGGAAATGTCTCTGGTCCCCAACAAACAGCAAAGGTGTGAAAGGCAATTAGTTGTTTTGGCGGAGGGGAAGAGTGATATATGAGAGCAGCGGAAGAGAGGACATGTCTGGACTGGTGCAGAATTACTGGCCCTTAAGGGTTTTTAGTTTCCTTAACCCCTTTCCCTCTGCTGCAGCTATTCTCTATGGGCAAAATGAGGGAGGGGTGAAACTGGTGCCCCGTAATGGCTCCCTAAACACAAGGCCAGTCATGCAGACCCAGACAGACTGCCAGACAGACAGAAAGCTGGGAATGGGGAATGGACGGGTGTCAGACATAGGCGGGGTTTGGATCAAAACAACTCTTAATGGAATCTGGATGTGGCTGCGTGAATACTTGAATGTGTTTGTGAGTGGTATGCAATGCTAATGTGCGTCTTTGCAGGTTTGCGCATGTGCAACCGATTTGTGCGCGCGCGTGTGTGCAATGTCGTGGAATGCGTTCAAGTGTGTGTGCATTTGAGAGAGACAGACAGCGGGCTCTCACACGTCAGGCCCTCATGCATGTATTCATCAGAGCCTGGGGAGAGGCTGAGCGAACAGGTCAATAATCACATCTGAGGAACACTCACTCACTGACGCTAATCCACGACAGGAGAGAGCGAGACAGAAAGAGAGAGAGAGAGAAGGATAGAGACCCACTCCAAAATCAATTAAAACCTAATTAGGCTCTCAGCTCTTTCGTGGGCCTTTTATCCTCGGTGTTGGCGATACAGCATCGAGTGTGTACGCGCACGCCTGTGTTTGTCCATATCTGCGTGCGCACACGTCTGTCTGTCTGCAAGTGTGTGTGTTTGTTGGCACACGTTTGAGTGTGTGTTTTCCCTAAGCATGTGTCAGTTACAGCCTTAAGTAGGCGTACTTAAGGATAGCCGTGGCTCTTACGGGCTCACCGTGGGAGCTCGCCGCTAAAGCCTCTCCGATCGCCTCTGTAATGCAGGATTACAACCAAGACATGTATAAGAGAATTGGACAACAGCTTCTTTACTCAATGGGACAAGTTCTGTTAAAGCCTGCTTTTGTGTTGATTTGACTTTAACTGTAGTACAGGCCACTAAAACTTAATGTGTCTTCTTACAAATGTCAAGGGGGGGAAGTCTTATTATATGGATCGCTTTAGAGGGGAGAGACATTTGTTTTTGAATAATTCACATACAGTATGTTCTTGCATGCTGGTGCACAGATATAATGTGAGCTGGTGAAAGAGCACTCAAGCATTGCACTTCCATACAGTTGAGGGGCTCGAGAGAGACAAGAAGAGGCAAAACTGCTGCAGCAGAGGCAGATATATCCTAACTTTGAGCCAAAAGTAATCCAACTTCATACCACCCACACCTTTCCATGCCTTGAAGAGCCCTTCCAGACATGTATTAAGACATAAGTATAATTTCCACATTAAAATCCTTAAAAGGGTATCAATTTTTTTCTGTTTACCTGTTGTCCATTCTCAGTGTATGTGCACTGGTGGCTTCAAGTTTCTACATCACACTTGTATATGTTCCTGATTGGACCAGGTTTCACTCTTTGTGATGTCACAATCATGCTCGTAGGCCCCGCCCTTCAAATCAGTTCTCAACTTCTGCCACATACATCATTCTGCCACAGTGAAGATCAAACATCCAGCTTTAGGAACAGGAAGAAAAACATATTTTTGAGTGGAGGGGAACTTTTAAGAATTTTAGTCCCCAAGCTCACCCTGAGATTTCTAAAGTGATGTCACTTTTTTTCACAATTTATTGACCACTTCCTACACGTTGTCATCCGCCAGATGCTTGCGTGGTGATGACAGCGTTGTGGTGACATTACAAGTTCACTGGAGCATTAACACACTTTGACTTCACCTGTCCATGTCCCACTAGATTAATGTGGTGGGATTAATCCTCCATCAGCAGTCTTAGGTTGAATGCTTTGTACACAAATCAATACACTGCAGGAATGAGATAACCAAAAAAAGAGGCTTAGTGACTCTTCTTAATCCAGGTTTTATTCAAAGCCGAACTCCAAAAACAGTCGTTAGTGTTCAGATGCCACAGATGCTCACTGGTACCCCCTCAGTGTCACTTTTTTTGGTTTGGGTAACTTCCCTATTTGGAACATTAGCAAGATGCTGTGTTTAAGAACCCATACGTCTGCGATGCTTTTTCAGCATCAAAAAGCCCATCACAGTAATTAGTGAGACAACAGCAGCCCCGTTGTTTTTTTGACGGCTTCATCATATGAACTAATTGAGAAGAGTGTGTTTGTGTGTGTATATCGGGGAGGGTGTCCTCAATGTAGCTGCCGGGCTCCTGCTGCGATGCAGTTAGTTACGCAGGGAATCACAATATGGGGGGGGGGGAAGCGACATTTGTCAGTACTGTAGAGAGAGAACCAGGGATGAATATTGTGGAGACAAAAATTACAAGGACATTATTCACAGTTGCGCAACTTCAAATACAACAACAGGCCTATTTAGCAGAAAACACACGCATAGCATCAACACAAACACATGCTTACAAAAAGAGGTAGAAAAGTGACGGTTACTTTTAGTGTGATTGCCTGTTTAAGAAGAACATCACTCAAGTAAAATTGAGTATAACTTGCTTAAAACAGTACTTATGCACTGAGATAGTAACAAACAGAGATTATGGAGTTTTCCACACCTTCCAATATTGACACAACCCCAAATTACTACCATAAAACCTGGTGTTTCACCGTTAGCTGCCAGGCATGGGCTGGCCCTTTCTTAATCATATCAACAACACTATGGTAAAAATTATTGGAGGTAAGGCATAGTGGAACTGTGTTTTGTAGTAAATAACACTTACAGTTACAATTTTCATTGTGCAGTGCTCACTCACACATCTGAGGCCTAAAAATGTTGTCAAGTAAAGGGAGGGATTGAAACTTTTTTTCATCAGCATCTGGAGTTCCAGGTGGCCTTGCCACACATGCAGGGAAAATTAAGTTTAACAAAGAATGGGAAACATACTGGGTACAGTCATTCAGTGGGCACACAATCTACTGTACTCGTCATGTCTCACACTGGGCTTCATCAGGATGTTAATTCCCACTTTCCCTCTTATTCTGTATTAATTATGGACATAAGGGCTATATTTGACCTGGCAACAAGATCAGG